TTGATAACGCTTTTTCTGGAAATGTAGTCCACAATGTACAAACGGGAGAGGAAGGATTTGAATCTACATACAAGTTGCAACACCATTTTACTTCCCAACTTAACTTTTAAGATAGTTTTGTGACATTTCAAAGACTGAAACGGTTAAGGCATTCTGCGAGACAAAAATTCTTACATGAGTGAACGTAGGCATAGCCAATGTGAAAGTATGGTGTGAACCTCTATTGGAGACTAAGTAATTCCTCCCCATCTAAGAAAATTGATCTTCATCTTGCGATAGTTACTGCCTAAAGCCTTTGTCATATTTGTCTCAGTTTCATTGATAAATTTGTGCATCTTTCCTATATATTTTTCTAATTAAGTGTGTTCGACAGATGTCAAAGTCAGCACCATCTGATCAGTCGAGAATCAATTTGCTAGATTCAAAAGATGTAAGTAATTTTTTTTGGGTCATCTGCTAATTATTTTCAGCATTCTTTATGTATTTCCCTTTCAAATGTGGGTTGATGTATTTGAACATGATGATAAAAACTTGAATAGACTAATCATATTCTGGATGTACCATTGTAAGAAGGAAAGAGAAAAAGACAAGTTTGCAGCTTCTCGTCTTTGGGTATCTGCAATTCCATCTAGAAGTTCATCATAAATACTTTTCAATTCTCTTTTTCTCTCTTTGTTTATATTTAGTTTATTCCACATTCCGTTTATTGGTTTCAGATTAACATATCTGAGAATTACGATTAGTAAAAGAATGTCTAGGGCATTAGTGGATTTCAGGGTCTAGTGTCAACAAAGCTAATTCAATCTGAAAAGCTAGCAGTTGGAGTTAAGTCCAAGGTTCATTTTCCTAAACAAGGTATTAAAGCTAGAATCATAATTATTCTTTGTTAAAACAATGTCATGCCTAGTTGTTATGTTGCATGGGCTCCAAATATTCAGCCTCATGCATGTGGACACATTAGAGGTTCACATTGTTTAGGCCTTTACTCAACTTAAAAAAGCTAGCTGTTGCAGTTAAGTTAAGTGCAAGGTTCATTTTTCTAAACATGTTATTAAATTCAGATTCATATCCATTCTCAGTTTAAGCAATGTCTTGCTGGGGTGTTATGTTGCCTCTGCTCCAAATGTCCAGCCTTTTGCATGCGGAGGCATTACAGGTCCATACTGGTTGGGAACATGGGTTGTAGTGGCTTTATTAATAGCTAAGCAATTGGACTAAGAGGTGACATGAACACTTGACCATATTTTAGGATTATTTGTCTTTGGTTGAATATCCAACTTTGTCCTAAATTAATATACATCTTCTAAAAAGGAAAGTCTAACCATATTTTATTAATGATAATATATTAAACAACACTTCCTTTCATCCCAACAAAGCGTATCTTCAATTTTGACCTTAAGAAACCAAAAATAAATAAATAATTATCTCTTTTTCTGAGAAAAAATCTGACGTCCATTCTTTTATATTAAACAATAACAGTTTAAATTCAAATTCAATACTTATGTCATTTCCATTGAGTAGAGGTTCTAAGTATGAAATGTGAAGTTGTAGGCATTTTTTTAATGAATCTTTAGCAGCGATGACCTTTCGATACCAAAATAAAGTTTTGTTGGGGTAATTGTTGTATGTTGAACATTAGACCTATTTCACGCGTAATGTGGGATTTTTTGTTCTTTTCTTAGGTAATAGCAAATAAAATAAAACGGTGCAAGACTGATGCGTTTCCCGGGTAAGCAACCAATCACTCCTGGTGTGGATGCTTGCAGAATATTATTTTGTCTTTTCCATTGACACTTTAATGTCCTACTTATAATTTCTAAAAGAAAAAGCTTCTCTGAAGGCTTAGACCGTGACAAGGCACGTGAAATACATCCAACATTAAATAATTTCTCCATAACTACTTTCTTGTGCTGAGTTATAATTTCTTCTGTTGTTTTATTTACCAATACACAGCTTGGAGTTTGACAATGCAGAAAGACCTGAATGTAACAATCTTCTTTCCATTTATCAGCTAGTTTCAGGCAAGACCAAGCAGGTGAATCACCTCATATTCAATGCTAATAATTTGTGTACATTACCCTTCTGTGTTTTTTTTCTTTCACCAATACTATGTATGCCTCTTCGTTAATGGGTGACAGGTTAACTTTAGCATGTAACTGTAACTTATGTTTGCACAGTTTATTTTGTGGTTCTTTCTTGCAGTTCCTTGTGCTGTTAATTACAACTTATGTTTGCACAGTTTATTCTGTGATTCTTTCTTACAGTTCCTTGTGCTGTTAATTACAACCTAAGGTATTGGGAAATCAAGCCACTGCCTTGGTCCCATTTTATGTGATGCATACAATTGAGAGAGTCAATATTTTTTTTTTGATCAAGGTAACATGTTTTTTATATATAAGTAATCATCAGCATAAAAATGCTGGAATCCAAAAAGATGTTGAGGACATCCTTCTTAAAAGGATCAGATTTGCATTAAAATCCAAAAAGAAGAATTCTGTAAATTGCTTGTGTCTTCAAAGATCTAGAGTTCCTCTCCTTCCAAATTGTCCACCAGATGCTTTTCTCTGACAAATTTTCTTGAACGTCTATTTATGGCTGTCAAAATCCATCAGAGGCAGAAACGAATAACATGATCAGATGTTTAGAACATCCTCATTCTTCTTACAAGGATCAGATTTGCACCAAAATCCAAAAGAATAAAGTAAATAGCTTGTGTCTTTGAAGCATCTAGAGTTCCTCTCCTTCCAAATTGTCCACCAGATGCTTTTCTCTGACAACTTTTCTTGAACGTAAATTTATGGCTTTCAAAATCTGTCAGGGAGGCAGAAATGAATAACATGAAATCTTGAGAATTTCTATTCTGCAATGTTCTAAAAATTCTGAAATCTTGAGAAATCCATTAGAGGCAGAGACAAATACCTCAACCAATGCAGACATTCTATCAATGTTCTCCACTGTTTAAATTATCAATAGCTTGAGGGAAAAGCTAAGCTGTGGATTTCCAAATTCCTTCATTTCTTCTCATTCTACATGATACTAAAGTCTTTGACCCTTCTTTGAATAATCAAACTGGGTACTGTAAAAAAAATTCTTCCTCCTCATTCTACGTAAACAACTTCAATTATTTTTCTTTCATTGCTATCAATTTAATTTTTAAGTCTAAAAGGAACTTCCACATTAAAGGTCTGGCAAAATGTGTCATGAAATAGGTAAATTTCTCTCTTTTTTGGGTGGTTGAGTTTGAGGGTGCAAAATCGGTTCCTCTATATTACATTGTCCAAGCAATAATGGAGAAGTTAAATCTCAAAGACTTGATGTTGCAGGAGGTTGCAGAAGAATGCAGAGATATGAATTGGGGAACATTCAAAATCGTGCTTACAGATGCTTTAGTTGATCATCTACACCCTATCCAGGTTTCTTCTTTCGCATGTGATGCTTCCTGATAGCTTTGTGTTAGTTGGATGGTTGTGCTTGTGTAGTTGATGTGTCCATGATATATTTGTTTTAGATCTAGTTGGAAATTCAGCTAAAATGCATCCGCATGCTTATACTGGAGAATCACGAGTGCGTGAACTAGTAACCTACTTCTTAGTGTAGTCAATGTCACAGAGCTAGAAACTTGGTAAGAAATATAGTTTGAGAGTGGTAATAAAGTGCATTTAGTGCTATTATCTCTTTATATACCTCCTTTTTTCGATCTTTTTCCACCACAAGTATTGAAGACTTTAGAATATAAGGGTGACATAAACTGTCCTTGAGGTTTTAATTTGCGACACTTACTTTATAGTTACATTTCTTATAATAGCTTTGTGGGAATACAGATGGTTGCATCTTTATATATGAATTTTGGTGCTACCCTTTTGGTAGCAATAAACTTTCTTGCTAGTATTTTGCATCTAGGTATCAACTTATCACATCAATTCTTTTGCGTTAACTTTTCATTTTCCTCTGTAACGTCATTTTTTTGTTTCAACTTCACTTTGGGGTTATAGTTTCTTCGACAGGATACATTTCTGTTTCGCATCTGGCAATTGCAAGGATAAAGATGATTCATCTCGATTGCAAGCCTAGTTTTCTGTCCAGTGTTTTATTTCTTCAAAGATAGTTTTGCACAAGTTCTTTTGGTTTGCACTTTGCAGGTACGCTACGAGGAAATCATATCCGACTCAAGTTACTTGGACGAAGTTTTAGCAGAGGGAGCCAGAAAAGCAGCAGACATAGCAGATGTTACTGTAAATAATGTCTACCAGGCAATGGGATTCTTGAAGAGATGAGCATGACCGCTGCTGCATGAAAACCAAAGATGCAGAGGTCAATGTGATATTTTTAAAGCATACATGCATCGGTATGTGTTCCAAAACTCCACTCGCAGAATTACACTAGAAATGTTGTTGTCACAATCTCAATGGAGGACGTATCACCGATTTTGCTATTTATGTTTAGTCAAGTTGTAAAAATAATTTTTGTACTCCTTTTCTACTCATAGTATTAGTTCGAGTCTTGAATTAATTTTTCATGCTGCAAGTTGCTTTTAGCCTTAATACACTTGCACTATTGTATTGGCTAAACCTAAATGGAGAAGAAACTTTTCCAAAACTTTATATTTTGATTTATAAAAATCCATCAATAACTGCTTCCAGAAGTAATGCAACAAGTAATCTTGTTTAAACTATGCTGCTTTCCTTTGTTATTTGTAACGAAACTGCGAATTAAAATGGAAGTTAGAAAGTTGGGCTGTTTAATGGGGTTAAATCCTCATTTAACATGTAGTTAATTTCATCTAATTAACAGTTAATCAATCCTAGTATTGCTCCTTGTGAGATCGATTTATATTTGATAACAATAGTCTTTACCTTATCTGTAGAATGCGTAATATATCAGGTTGTTGTCCTCAAGAATGACACTTTTTGGATGATAAAAAGCTCTCCAGTAATAAACTCAAATTAAGTCCAGATAGCAAACTATGCACAACAACACTTAAATGTAACCCCAAAATGAAATTAATGAAGAAAGCAGAATGGATTGCTGTCTTCCAGTATTGTCTGAACCATAAAATACAAAACCAAAGGAAATTGCAGTGAAACTATCTTCAAACATCTAGCGTGAATCGTAAACAGATTGGATGTCATTGGAGGAAATATAATTAAAAGTAGAGGACAAATAAAGCCTAAAAATAACACACTCAAATATACATTAGAACTGAAGATGCAGGTGCTCGATTCATGGTACGAACCCAATGTCCTTGAAGTACTCATGCTCAAGGGCGCTTCGGGCAGTGATTCTCTTGCTGGGGTCTAGGTAAAGCATTTTCTGAAACATCAATAAGCCAGGACATGATGAGTAATGGGGGCACATATACCAGCATGAGAGATTGAAGGCTAAAATATTGTATCGTCTAATCATCAAACATTATTCATTGTTCGCGTGAAAACCTACTCATAGTTCAAATGAAGAGAAGTACCAAAGTGATCCATCGGGTTTACAAGATGAAAGTTGCTATTTCCATAAAAATAAACTGCACCATAATGACCCACCACCCAGTAAATGTCCTCCAAATAAAAAGGAGAATTAAGAAGGAAAAAAAAAATGGACGCACAACGGAAGGTAAACAGAAGAGCGTAGGCTGAACAAAACTGAAACAAGTATATGGATGCAGATTCTGAAACGGTTAATAAGAAAGAAATGTACAATCATAAAGCAGGAGCTACATTCAAACATGTTTTGCATGCTCATAAGATGCATATACCATTTTTAACTAGAATGTGAACTTACACCAATGAGATCAAGGCCTGCTGCACCAAGATTAGGGACTACAGTTCCTAAGTCCTGCGAATTTAAATGGCTCCAATTATATAATTCATAGGATGTTATCCTCATAGTATAGCAGGAGTCAAATTGCTAAGGGCAACAAAAAAAAAACGTAAATTACCTTAGATGGCCACTTTGGAAAAGCAGATTTAAAATCAGGCAAAGAAGTCACTCCAGGCCATGTATCCTCATTTGGAGTACCCACAACTCTTCATAGAAGGAAAAAGTAGAGAAGCATCTCATCATTGGAAATATTCAATAAACACGACGCACAAGGAAAGGAAAAGCTGACATTCCATGATTCAAGAAATCTCACTCTAGCATTCTTTTTTTTGAAATAATTCCCACTCGAGCATTCTCTTTATAGAATTTGATGATTAATAGTTATAAACATGTTAATAGTGATATTTTGGCGATAAACATCATAAAGCCAATATATGAACCTTGTTAAGCCTCATAGAGGGGAATGTAAATAAAATAAATTACTAATATGCGTATCACCATAAGGAAATGCACATCATAGGCCATCCATAAGGATGGTTATGGAATTCCGAACCATGAGGCTTATCCATGCTCTTATATTCTGTTCACTCAGCCCCCTACATTCTGCCTGATTTTTGAGTTCTAATTATCTTAGTCTGTGATGCATAAAGGAGGTCAGTAGAATGTTCCGTGCCTATTCCTTTCTAAGAAGGGCTAGTTACAAAGATGAAAATGGGATCTGCAGTCTGTTGACAAGAAGGACACTTCCATCATCAAAGTATATTCCTTCCACAAAGAACATTGTCTTCATAAAGAATTAGTGATGCACATTGTTTTATCAATAAGAATAATTACGTATATTAAAACCTGAAAATCTTGAAAAGTTCGTCAATCTCGGAGTCACCCGGAAACAGAGGCCGCTGGTTCACCATCTCAGCAAATATGCAGCCTACTGACCAAACATCAACAGGAGTAGAGTAGTGGCGTGATCCTAGCAGTATTTCTGGTGCCCTGTACCATAACGTCACCACCTGAAACAAAAAGTCAACTATTGAAGACCCAAGGAAATAAAAGCTAGATAAATACCCTTGCTCCTCCAATTGCTTGGTTAATACAGAAGATAAAAGAGTATCTTAAATGATAGGGCCAAACCCCTGAATCCTGATCAAAATCTTTATCTTTATCGGAAAACTTAAAGCTATAAATGGTAAAGAAAAACTTCGAAGAGAAAAAAGTTGTTCGCATAGAGAAGATGTATCAGATCCTGAAAAAGTGCGTCAGATGTAAGAGAAGTTTATGCTTTGCAATAACTAGCTTCTCATCAGTCCTAGGGTGCATTAAACAATTGGTAAAGATTCAAGAGAAGTCACAATAAAAGTTTCAGAGAGCTAAACACAATGTTCATACCTCGTGGGTGAAAGTTCTGACAGGAATGCCGAATGCTCTAGCCAATCCAAAGTCTGCAAGCTTTAGAACGTTTGTACGTCTATCTATCAGCAAGTTCTGAGGCTTCAGATCTCGGTGAAGAACTCTATGAGAATGACAATAAGCAATTCCACGGAGAATTTGATACAAAAACATCTGCAAAATTAGAGAGATTGCTTAATTGATGACCATGAACAAGAAGCCTGTGGTCAGAGTGCCTCTCCCTTCCTCCTCCACAAAGACATAATAGAGTTACAAAATTCATCAAGCAGATAGCACATAACGAAACCAGACTTCCAAAGGATCATCCAGTTCTTACTCACTTTTACAAGACGCGGATCCTTAGAGAACTCGGGACATGAGTCCATATGCTTCTTCAAATCCAAGTCGAGATATTCAAACACTAGATATAATCGCTTCTCACTGTGAACCACATCTTGCAACCTGTAACCAGATAGGAAGAAAACTATCTTACAAAATGCAAAAATACCTTTTCGATATTATAAAAGAGAATTTCTATATTGGTATCCAACATATAGATCGTGTTTGGATCTTCTCTCTAGATGCATCTCTATAGAAACACGCTTATATGCATAGATGCATAATCTATAATACCTTCAATTCAAAATGTTTAGATGCTGAACTTTATTTTCTGAATCTAAGTAACTATGAATATGACTACAAGTTATAGCAAACTTAGGTCTATATCCATTACACAGAAACAGCCCTTACGCAACCCAATTACACTTGAAGAAGCGCTAGACATAGAGGGTGAAGTTTTCCCTAGTAAGAACCAGTACATCCCATGGAGCCTTCCCCAGTCCCCAGAGCACAAGAAAAACATCTCCCAACTATGCACTCCATATAGAAGAATTTAAGAAGATAAATAGTTACAAAAATTCTTACACGGCAAAACAAGGGGTAAAAGGAAAACAGCCTGTGCCAGAAAACAAATCAATATTTTACTACTCAAGAAACTGTAATAGTGGAGGCCCTGCTTAAACTGATATGAAGGGGAACTAGACATGAATAAACTGCCTAATCAACTTTACATCTATTCAATAACCACAACAAATAGAGAATACAGCCTCAACCACTCTCATCACAATCACATCCATACAGTAATATTTACAGAAGTAGCAATAAAGACCATATTGCTACAGTGTACCTCACAATGTTTCCATGCTGCATCTCTTTCAAGAGGGAGATTTCTCTAATAGCCGTGCTTGGCACACCCTCGTCTTCCTGCTCCAGCCGAATTTTCTTCAGTGCAATAGTTTCATTAGTTACACGATCACGAGCTTTGTACACTACGCCGTACGTTCCTTCACCAATCTTTTCAACTTTTTCATACTGCAATTACCCACAATATCACTTTCCAACATAAGCATCAGGTAAACAGAAAGCAACTAATGATACAGATGAGGAACTCCTTACCTGGTCCATCTTAGGTCAAACTGGATGGACTCCTGAAAGGCAAAGCAAGAGGAACAAAAAGGAAATTCAGATGAAAAGTAGTGAGAAAGAAAATTTGACACAGATACCTTTTAAGTCATTTTGATTAAGATCAAGTGCATTATCTGTTTTTCAATCAATTTCTTTTTAGATGGATCAACATTCAGTTCAAAGTTGCCACTACTAAATAGGAGCAGCGTAAAGGGGAAAACGCCAGAAATCCCACTCCCCCGAGTTTCAAAAGGAATAACTGGTAATTGCCAAGCTGTACTAGAAATATATACCAAATGATCATGTACACTACACTAACAAGTAACAACTAACATTTTGAGTACATTTCAAATTCAATGCCGAACCAAGCAAGGTTTCCGAACGGCATATATACAGAGAACCAGAATACTCCTGGATAATACTTGCAATTGTAAAACTAAGAGGGAAAAATTAACTTCCACATACTTCGTATCTCATACTTCTCGTAGCTAGTAAGCCATTTCAATTCAAACAACATTAATTTACTACAACAGCATCTTAATACACATTAGAGATCAAAATGAAGATCTCCAATTTACTAAACAGATAATCAGCTCGAATTTCCTCAATCTAACCCCCGAAAATCAGCAGCAAAGTGATCTAACGCAAGCAACAAACTTAGAGGAACTCAAAATTAACACACAAAATGTCACTCATCCACAATAATAAGAAGCAAAAACAAAAACAGTTGAGAGCTATAAAATCAGAAGCAAAGTGATCAAAACGCAAGCAACAAACTTATAGAAACTCAAAATTCACTGGAAATTAACACACGAAATGTCACTCATCCACAATAATCAGAAGCAAAAGAACAACAACTACAGCAATGAATCTATCGAAGATTTCGGAAAATGTAATTAGGGGTAACGAACTGTAACTCACTTGAGTATGTCTAGAGAAGGATATCGCCGTCGTGAACCGGAGGATCGGAGATGAAAAGCTGCCGGCGGTACTGGCGGAGACGGAGTAACTGCTGTTGTAGTTGTACCACAGGGAAACAGTTGTTGGACTTGCAGTCCACCTTTAATATATGGAGCAGAAAAAGGCTATTTACCTCATCTTATTCATTTTTTAATTTATTTTTCACTTTAATTTTCTTTATAATTTTTAATGTTTTTATCCTTTAATTCTATTTATATATTTTTTTATAATTTTGCACAAACAAAAGTTTAATAGTATTACCATATGCTAATAATTATAGTTGACAAAGTGACATTATCTAAAAATACAAGTAAATGAGAATAATTAGTATTTATTTAAAATTAATAATTTATTGGGATTGCATGAATATTGTATTGTGTGTATTTTCCGATATATGTTTGTGATGATTATTGTTTTATAACTATCAAATTTATTGTTACACAATTCATTTTGTTATCGTAGGGTACATATAGATTATCTTATTCTTTTTTTTTTCTCATAAGCTATACGAAAGAATTAGATTCCTTCTTTATAATTAATGTGAGAAAACTAAACATTAATGATAGATGATCAACAAGTTAAGCAAGGATTGTCCGCATAAGGCACTAATATATCGCTTCCAGAAAGGTGACTTGGTAAGACCAAAATATGGAACAGAGATTGAATGAAGAATTGCTTTTTCTTTAGCGGGAATGGCACCACCTTTTTATTTAGCAACTGCCGACCGGAAGACAAAAGGCAATATTCGAACTGAATGAATTGCATTTGTCTTTTCTGGACAGCATAGAAGGAGCATACAGTATTGCTTTGAGTGTCGAAGGACTTACTGCTTGAGCCAAAAACAAGAAAGCTTGTCAAGGAGAGAACTCCCGAGGAGAGTTATTTGGCTCATAGAAGCGAGGATCTGGAAGAGAGGGTCAACTATGGTAGTGAATGAGGGGGACTTGTTCTGTGATAAACAAATGACTTCAAACCTCCGGGCATCCAAAAGAGGTGAACCTGAGAAGAGCAGTAAGATTAAGCGTTCAAATACTGCTGTTATGACTGGAATGCAGTTGAAATAGGGATTCGCTTAATAAGTCGATTGCTGCCATTCCGGAAATCAGGGGCGCTGGGTAGATCGTAGATTGCCGGGTATGAATTCAATTCTAAGTTGGAGACTGCCCATGAATAAGGTTCGGTCTTTCAATAAGTAGTCAGATGCGGGCATAGTCAGGCTTATCATTGATTGAAACAACTATTGAAGAGAAGGCACCAGTCAGACCTGCAAGCATCAACAGGCAATCCCGCATAAAAGAAAGACTACTGACTTGAAAATCCATTCACATCGATAGGGGGCAGGGAACCAACAAGAAGCATTTATTAATATTAATCTTTAATATATCATCGTCGACTTAGTCAATATAATTAGAGTGACTTAGCATAACTAAGTTAGCATGATTAAAAAGTTTTATCTCGTCTTTATTACCTTAACAAATGTATAAATGTTTATGATCCTTTTAAATGCAATAAAAAAGAGAAAAAACATTTATTGTTAGAATTTTTTTTTTGCTTTTAATGATTCAAAAGATCATATTTAAAGTTATTTAAATGAATTCTTAAATGTCAAGAAGAACAAGTCATTCTATTGATTTTCTCACAATTTTTTTCTAATTTGTGATATCGTTCAAATCGTCAGAATATTATTAGATATAGCCTTCTTTCAAGTAATATAATATGTTAAACATCTATAACATTTTAATAATTTAAAATCGAGATAATGTTAAAATGTATAGCAAAACGATAGTGATATGTTTTGCTTCCGAAGTCAATCAAAGCATTATGGATAATATAAATTGCTTAAACAAAGGTTATGAATCCATTTCGTTAGAACTAATTATTTTCGTTACTTCCAATTAAAGGTGTAGAAATTTCATAATCCTATTATACCTCATATAAAAAGCTCCCTTCTTCAATAATATCTTATCGTGCGATCTTATGTTTTCGTTTGCTTGATCTGCTTCAAATATATATTATTTCGTCTAATTCTTTTTTGCCTTTTCATGAATTCAACACCACTTTAAAAGGTCATCCTATTAAAAAATCTCCACGATCAATACTTATTTCTAACTCCTTAAAGTATTTCATTGATTCACCCTAAAAACCAATAATAGACCAATCAATAAATAAAACACAAATTATTTCTAACTCCTTAAAGTATTTCGTCGATTTACCCGAAAAACCTATAATAGACCACTCAATAAATAAAATAAAAGTTATTTCTAACTCCTTGAAGTATTTTATTGATTCACCCAAAAAAACATAGAGTAGACCACTGAATAAACCGAAAATAAAAAAAAATCTCATGTTGGCACATGTCATGTTTGCACAAATAAAATATGACCGTTGCAAAGGAGAGATCTCCTTCTATTCAAAAACAAAGACATTTTTGTAACGAGTACCAAATTGCTCCTCATTCAGCCATTTCTCTCTCTTCTTTCTCTCTCTATATTTTAGGGCATCATATACAGGCAAAAGAGGAATATGGCGATTGCACCGGAGACTCAGCCACAGCAACAGCCAAAGGTAACAATTTTTTCTGACCTAATTAGATGAATAGAAGAGCAAAAATGTCAATTTTTGTTTGTTTTTTCCGTGAGGTTAGAGTTTTTAGGAATTTTAACTTATTGAGTTATATGCGTGCTCATTTTGTTCGATTTGAATGTTGCTATGCGCTTGAATTTCTGAGATTTTGTTGAATCTCATTTGTTGTAAAGAGTTCTTTTTTCTCGATTTTGAATTATATTGATAGGTATTCTAAACAGAAATGTGGCAATTTTGGGGTGGATCGCTTGTCAACTGAGCACTGAGAAAGGATTTAAGGCTGTAGAGTAGGATTTTCTCATGGAAAATTTTGGCATGTTGTAGAACAAATCAACAAAATAGACTGGTTGACTTTGCTAAGCGTTGTTATTCATTTTTCTGGACAGTTAAAAATGGTTACGAAATTCTAAGATTTTTTACGCTTTAAGTTTACAGCAACAATAACAACAATTTTACGTAGTGAAATTTCATAAGTGGAGTCGAGGGAGGGTACCTCTGGTTAACAATAATGCAGTACTAATCCACCATAATCCATGTTGATTCATGCTTTGAGGTTTAAACGATAGAACTGTATTAAGGTTTAAACAATAGAAATGTATGTTCTTTATCTTTTTGCATAAATTTTCCCTTTTGTATACTAGGTTGATTGGGATTTTATTCTTGCAGGATTCCTCCGAGGGTGCAGCGGTGGATCAAAAGAGATGGACTCTCAATGATTTTGACATAGGAAAGCCTCTTGGAAGAGGAAAATTTGGTCATGTATATTTGGCTAGGGAGAAAAGGGTTAGTGGATAATTATTAGTTTTAATTACTCAACTAATTATGCTTCGCTGGTTTGGTAATTTGGCGTACTATTCATCTTCTGAGTTCTATAACATTGTTTGATGGTAAATTGTTGGGCATCTGATCCTCATTTTCATTTTTCATGGAAATCGAAGTTTTTGAGTATAAAGGAAAAATGAAATGTATTGTGCTGATTTTTGTATGTCAGCTTAAATAATGAAATGTATTGTGCTTATTTTTGTATGTCAGCTTAAATTGTGTTGAACTATTCAGATTTTAAGAAAGTTCTTATCCGCTTGATTAAATCCTTCCCTGATCTTCATATCTTTCCTTCTTCTGTTATTCTTCTTTGTTTATCTAATATACAATTCTTACTACAAATAATTACGCCTATAATAATCTTAGTTGTTTCATATAAACAGAGCAATCATATTGTTGCACTAAAAGTGCTTTTCAAGAACCAGCTTAAACAGTCTCAAGTTGAGCATCAGCTTCGGCGCGAGGTTGAAATACAAAGCCACCTTCGACATCCAAATATCCTGAGACTTTATGGTTACTTTTATGATCAGGTAGAATTCTACAGTCTAATGCTTTACTTGTTCAGTTTGTGACCTGAGAAGAATTTAGAAGAGACTTATTTTCACATTATTATTGCAGAAACGGGTTTATTTGATTCTGGAATATGCTGCCAAGGGTGAACTCTATAAGGAGCTGCAAAAGTGCAAATATTTTAGTGAAAGGCGTGCTGCAACTGTGAGTTCTTCTCACACTGTTAGACTCTGCCTTAACATTATTGTGGAACCTTGGGATTCCCTGTTATTCTTTTCCTTTTAAAATTGTTGGGAGTCCAGTTTCTCTTCTTTCTTTTTTTCCGTTTTGGTTCCATTTTAGGTAGCCTTGAATTGAGTCTGAGCAACTAAAATTATACAGATCTTTAACATGTTATGTCATTTTAATATGCTCTCTAATTTACCTACCATTATTTGATGGATCAAAGTGTTTACGTATTTATTTTGTCATGGGCATGGAACAGTATGTTGCATCATTGGCGCGAGCCCTCATATACTGTCACGGGAAGCATGTAATACATAGAGATATTAAGCCAGAGAACCTTCTGGTTGGTGCACAGGTACTTATTTTGCATTCTGTTGGAGTTTATGCTTGCTGTAAAACGGGGCAGGGTTGTTAAACTGTATTTTTCATGGTTTTCTACTATAGGGTGAACTAAAAATTGCAGACTTTGGTTGGTCGGTACACACCTTCAATCGCAGACGCACTATGTGTGGCACTCTAGACTATTTGCCACCTGAGATGGGTACGCACGTTGTACTTGATGTAACTTAATGTTCTCATGGCCAGATGCAAATAATCTTTTCTCCAAGTTCATCTGTGCTTTTCACATGGCCGCTTGATTTTGTTAAAAGTAAGTCTAACTGAATTACATGAGTGTGATGGTTGATTGCTGAATATTGCAGTGGAAAGTGTGGAGCATGATGCAAATGTGGACATTTGGAGCCTTGGTATTCTCTGCTATGAATTCTTATACGGGGTGCCTCCATTTGAAGCAAAGGAACACTCAGACACATATAGAAGGTAAACTTTCTCTGCAAATGGAAACTAGTAAGAGTTGCTCTTTATACGACGAATGTGAAACTGAAAAGATAGAAGAGAGAAAATGTTCCATTGGTTTTTTATTTAGCTAGTAAAACAAGTAGGCGTAAAAGA